GCTACTCCAAAACATTGACATTGTAAAATTTCTGCGAAGAGGTATTCTACCAGAAGCTAGATGCCAAATAAGGGCAAAATCAATTGAAAAATGTGACCAAAACCCTGGTAAGAACTAAAACCCTGGTAAGAACTAAAATAATCGGATACCTTCACATAAGAGTTATAATGAAGCATGGTTCTATACTTATAATTATTTGAAAGAATTTGTTTTTCCTTCTAAAATCTCAAATTACCAACATTTGAGGAATTTGAAAGGGACTTTATCATTTGAGGGGGGCTATATCATAATGTAGACCAACCTGATACATATTTTGTACAAATGATTCCTCATGTAACCCCTAGGACTGTATCAAATTTAAAACTTTGTCGTAATTTTTGCAAAGTATAGGGCAAAATATTTGCGGCCCTTTGTGGTTAAGCTATATAAAATTGACTCTAAAAAAGTTAGATCCGGGAACCCCTCTTTTGGGATTTTTATTTACCAACCGAATAATTCCTAAAACCCAAGATTGTCTACGGCGCAGTGTAATTATAAATAAACTAGCTGACCCGGTCCGCGTTGCCGGCCCGTAGTTTTTGTCTATTATGTATATTTGTCAAAGCATAATTATTTACAGATATGACTGATATAAGTGTTCACGTACTGGTCGATTAAAAGTGTTTTAAAATATCTGTACCCATATTTAAGCCGTGTGCTTCAATATTTAAACCGTGGACTTCAAATATGTGTAAAAGTTTATATCAATCTTATCCCCATGTAAGGCATCAAATTAATTTTTAGTATGGTAAAAATCGTAGCAAAATTTTCCAGTCAAATGAGCAGTAATTTGGAATTTACTGTATTTTGTACACCTCATAATTGAGGGCTGAATGATTTAGGAATAGCCAAAGTTATTTACTTTTTAAACCCATTAGCACCTCAGATTTTGAATTAGAGTCCTCATAAGTCGCCCTAATCATGTCGGTCTGTTTCTCCGCCAAAAGGTGGACTTGAGGGGGTACTATTACATGGAGAAAATTCTAAAATTTGCAGATATGTTTAATTTTTTTTTTGTTTTTTTTTTAAGATTTTCACCTCCCAAATACACATTTTTAGCCAAATCCTTTGAAATATGGTAAAATCAGGAGGTACCTTTATATGGGCACTACTCCGAAACATCGACCATCATTGAAAACTTTCTTTTACCCCTTATAATCCAAGATGATAAATAGAGGCCAAATAAAAAATATAGCAGAACAATATAGCATGTCAAACTGAAAATAATTTCGCGCGTTTTAAATAAGTAAAAATAGTTGTATCCACCTCAGAATTGAGGGCAGAATGATTTCAGAATAGTTAAATATAATTACAATTTTACACCCATTACTGTAAAACGGGAATTAATTTTATTTGCCATTTAAATTGTAAGTTGGAGACCCCATAAAGTCCATATTTTTCATCATAGTATAATTCAATGACGATTCAACAAATATTCGGCTCCGTGCTACTGTCTTATATTTGTAATTTGTTCATGTTTTCACAATTAGTTTCATATAGATGTACATCCCAAATCTACGTTCTCAACCATTATTCTCTGGGGGGTTACAAATTCAATAGAATACAAAATTTTCTTTTCTGATCACACATTAGATGTGAAAGTGGACTTGGGGATACTCAAATGTGGGGACTTTACTTAAATAAATTCCTATCTGGCAATGATGATTCAACAAATATTCGGTCCCGTGCTACTTTCTTATATTTGTAATTTGTTCATGTTTTCACAATTTATATCATATAGATGTACTTTCCTAACCAATATTCTCTTGGGGGTTACAAATTCAATAGAAAACAAAATTTTCTTATTCAAAATAATAAATAAATAATTCAAATTGAGATGAGACGGCTAAGCTGTGGCAGCGATTCGACAAGGTGACAGTCCAATGAATAGTGTTTACTGCTACGACGCCCATCTCCCGCTGACGTTTGATCGCGTCACTACAGCTCAAGGAATAGAGCGTATAGCTACGACATCCATATTCGAGCGAAGGAATATTCTTCCCAATAGCTCGATTTAATTCTACCAAGGTAGCACGCCGTTTCTTCTTCCCAGCTCATCAATCATCAGTAACAGACGACTGCGCAAGGTGTGTGGAACTCACCATCTTTTATACTCTTTGGTCCACTTCTGTGGAACCACAACCATAAAGGGTTTACACTTTGAATGAAAATAACGACCAGTGCCTGAGGGTACATCTGTCGGCAAATCCGACAGATACCTTTAAACTTGTTCAATTATCAACGTTTCTACCCTTTTAAAATGACTACAATTTAAAACAATTGAATTTTTTCTTTTAAGAGTCGATGCGAACACGTTTTTTTTCAAAATTGAGGTTATTTGTCAAATGTATACCCTTGGTCGACAAATGAAATAACATTTACAAAATGTTTAGATTTAGAAGTCAAATATTTTTAATAGTTGCAAATCTAGTTAATTTCAACATGTTGTGAATCAAAGCGTGAGTGTTCCCCCTCGCCAATATTAGGGCGTATGAATAATGTCACGTATAATTACAAAAATTACTCATACGGCATGTACAACACAAAGGGATTTTACGGGTATATTCGAACATTTTATAGCATTGTAATTTATAGCATTCATAGCATTGTAAGCTTTATAATAATTACTTTTTCCTGAAAATTCAGGCAATTCTATCAAATATTATTAACGAATTCACCTATTGCAAAAGGCAATATAATTTTCCCTATGTTTGGAAAGCGTTCCTGCGTTTGATACTTGATAGTAAATTTATTTACCATTTTTATTCCCCTGATAACGCCACAATTGCCATTAATTTCGTACATTTTGTAATTTCATTTTGTGGCACTGCAGAGACCACAATTGAAATGCTATCAACGAATTACTCGCAAATAGCAATTTATTAGTGCTCTGCATCAAAATGAGTTTGTAGTTTGCCATACAATAAAATTACAATAAATATTTTCTGCATCAGAAAAATGAGGAATTCATATTGAATGCAAACTTAAGCGATATAGGTGAAATGTTGTTATTCGAAGAATGAATGTGAAAATATCTATAATATCTTCAACAAATGCCAATAGAGGCAGGTGTTAGCCAAGTACGGATGATTCGTTTAAGAATTTGGAAGTGCTTTATTTGTCAAGACCTTGGTATCACGCCAACATATTCTTTTTTCCCTAAGTTTGCCAAGGGTTTCAACTATCTGGACATGGAACTCATAAAATGTATATCTGTTCCTATTGGTATCAAAGCAAAAGTGCCCCTGACGATACTCTCTATTAGATGTCACATTAGAGGTTCCAATTTTTGGCGTTTTTCGACCCAGGTATTTTCATTCCCTTGCTGGGGACGCTTAAAACCGTTGGAGTATTTGACTAGGAAATTATTGTCTTCCTAAGGGAGTATTGTACTTCCTCTGATTACGGCTTGTTATACCCTCCACCTTGGAAAGGAGGGCATATTAACTTTGTCATTCCGTTTGTAACATCCTTAAATATTCGTTTTAGACCCCATAAAGTATATATATTCATAATCAGCATAAAATTCTAAGTCGATTTAACGATGTCCGTCTGTCTGTCTGTCCGTCTGTCTGTCTGTCGAAATCACGATACAGCCCACATTATTTGACGTAGAGCGCCAAAAGCAGAGCTATTTGTATTGTGTCTAGGATGGTTGGTATTGAAAATGAGATATATCGGTCTACGTCCTGGTATAGTTCCCATATAACGGTACCTCCCGATATTCGGTATTTCGATGATTTATTCCACATTTTTTCACGGATTTGTCTGGAAATTTGTATTTGTAGGTCATAACGGGTCCCTGAGAGTGTGGCAAAACATAGCATGTATAGGTCCACGTTGTGGTATAGCCCCCATATAAAGGTACCTTCCGATATTCAGTATTTTAGTGTTTTTGCCACATTTTTTTTCACGGATTTGTCTAAAAATTGGTATTTGTGGGTCATAATGGTTTCCAGCTCCGGCGGCGAAGCATTGCATGTATGGGTCCATGATTTGGTATAGCCCCCATATAACGGTACCTCCCGATATTCGGTAATTTGATGATTTTTGCCACATTTTTTCACGGATTTGTCTGAAAATTTGTATTTGTTGGTCATAATGGGTTCAAGTTTCGGTGGCGAAACATTGCATGCATGGGTCCATGATTTGATATAGCCCCCATATAACGGTACCTCCCGATATTCGGAATTTTAATGGTTTTTGCCACATTTCTTCAAATTTTTCTTTTACCCTAAGGTGGAGGGTATTAAAAGTTTGACCCGGCCGAACTTAATGTTTTTTTACTTGTTTTTACTATATATTCCATTGTTTTTACTATATAACCAAGAAGGTATTACTGATATAATTTAATGAACCGTTAGTCTTATAAAATAAAATCAGGATTTTGTTGTTATGCTCTTAACACAGCGAATAAACAAATAATCATCAAACTGGCAGCGGAAAAACGATGTGCACACAAATATAATTTTTATTTATCTGCGGAATATTAGAAGCCACAATTCCTTAGTGTGACCTATAAAAGCAATACATGGACAAATTAACAGTTTCACAGAATATTTGTGATACTTTTTCATACAAAACTGAGATTGAGATTAAGACATAAAATATTATTGGGCAATGTGTTGGCCATTTACACCATTTCCAGAGACTCGCAGCTGATAGGAAACCAATTGTCCTAAAGTCACATTTTAAGGCCATTCGCCTTTTGGCAATGCCCACAAAGCAAACACTGTTTGTTTTGTGTTTAATGCCATACAGACATTAAACACATTTCTTCAATATTTTTATTGCAATATTTTCCTCCTTCTGTTGGGATGGCAACTTTTATTTTATTTGTATATTTTCACACACCAAGTTCAAGGCGTGGTAAATTCATTTTTTTCTTATGCCAATTTACCGCAGTTTTTTATTTGATGTTTTTTTCGTCGTACAACCAGACATGTGTTCCATGCTTTCAGGCAATGGCTGTTACTTTCATTGTGAAATTTGTTGTTTGAAACGTCTTGATGGGGATTTTCTCGGTGTCTGTTCAAAACATGTTATTTCGAACAGCAAGGTGTCTGATATTCAAGAAAACGCCATTAAAGTGAGCAATAATTAAAGCAGTCAACATATACGGAAATCATTTAATTTTTTTGTTTACCCTCAGATATATGGTTGGAACGGTAAAAATTTTCCTCATCGTTGGACCAAATCCGTTTAAGTACATTTAAAGTCTATGTAGGGGAGCAGCCGATTTTATGAAAACTTTGAACATGGTTATATTATTGTTAAAAATAAGTCGAATGCGAATATGGGCAACATCAGTCGACTCCTTCAGATACCCCCCCCCCACAAAACGTCAAAATCTTAAAACAAACAAAGAAAAAAGCTGTACGATTGGCCGGGTCAAACTTTGAATACCCTCCACCAGTTGGAACGAATTTGGCAATTCTCAAAAAAAAAAAAAAATAATAAAATATGTTAAAATTTTGTTTAAATCTTAAAAATACCGAATGTAGCTGTTATACGACGAAGTGGGCCTATATAGATAACATTGGAGGGTATAAAAATTACGTTATAACAAGTAAAAAAGCAGTTTGACCTGGGCGAATATACTGCTTTTTACTTGTTATAACGTAATTTTTATAATAAATTAATACGAAATTTGAAACAATTCCGGTGAAGTTCGCAAACAATCATCAAAATACCAAATATAGGGATGTACCGGAGCCTACACGAGAACATCAATTTTCTGTCATAGACTTTAGTATCCATTACGAACTGCGAATACCAAATTTAAAACATATAATAATATTGTCGCAAAAATGGCCAAAATACCGAAAATATCGGGGCTATACCAAAACGAGGACATACATGGCCCATTTTCAATACCAAAAGTCCTGCGGACAAAATATACATTTGAGTAACATTTTATCAACCTACTTCATTTCGTTCGGAATCTAAAGAGATTTTCATGGGCAGACAGACAGACGAAAGGATATCGTTAAATCGACATAGAATTTTATGCTGTTCAAGAATATATATATATGTATATATATATATATATATATATATATATATATATATATATATATATATATATATATATATATATATATATATATATATATATATATATATATATATATCTTGTGGGCTCTAAAATTTATATTTCGTGGAAAGGGAATCTTTCCATCTCTCCATACTATGATGGAGGGTATGACAAGAGCTGAAAAACATATGAATATTACTATCGACAGGATGTATCTCAAATTAATTAATTAAAGATTGTTGTATGAAAAAAGTTTGTTTTCCTCTTCTTTGTTCTTCGTATTTAATCAAAAGAAAACAAATTTTATTGAAAAGCCCAAAACTTTAAGGTATATTTTTTTCTCTTTTCAAGCAGCTACTTTTTCCTTTTGATTGCTATGAACTGAAATGTGAAAGATAGTTAAATTATCGATGCTAAATCAAGAGTCTGTCAAAATGTTTTTCTCCCGTAAAGAACAAAAAAACGAAAACACAGACACACTTTTTTACCTGACAATTGCTGAAAGGAGAGAATGCTACCACCTGTCAAATTGAAATTTTTTTTAAAAAACTGTTCTGTAAATAAGAAGAAGGAAAAATAAATTGATTTTTGTTGCTATTCAATGAAGTGCTAAATGGTTATATATTTTAGGTGTGACGTGTTTAAGGTGTATTGAAATGCATAACAATTTTTTTCCAATATAATCCATGGCACATCAAAAAAAATCTCGGTTTTCCCATGAGTGGAAATAGAAAGCGAAATCACGCCCGCAGCTCTACACGTCCTTAATTTTTTAAGCTATCCAGGCTCCAAATATTTTTACAGAAAATTAGAGCTATCTGTTACATTAAAAAAGTATTGTTTAAAGTTGTAATTATTTATTTATTTTCATTGTCATCCTTTTCGATTCCTTTTAAACTCTCTTCTCTTGTATCTATTTCTTCGTAATCTCATTAAATTGTGAATCAATTTTCCATCATTAGTCAAGAATGATTTATTTTCAATTATTCGTCCATTTCGAATTAATTGCATATCCTTCCAAATGCTGCGAAAACAACATGACCGAGACAAGAAAGTCCCTCCCAAATGATGTGACCACAGTTTCGAGTCGAATGAAACATTTTTAATTTAAGAGATATCTATTGTAACGTACCCATCCCATTAAACCAACAATAACACGGTCACCGATACAGAAGACTCACATATTTACAAATCACTGAAAGCCGCAGGGTAATTAAAACGTGTGAAGAAAAGAAAAAGATGACATTATAAGAAGGAAACAAATTAAAAAGCATATTTTCTATCTGTTTCGCAAATAGAAAACGGAAAAAAAGAAGAAGATGAAACATAAAGGGCTAGACAAAAGGGCAAAATATCAACTGCTGTTTGATGATGAAGGGATTGAAATTAATAGAAAATTTAGTGGCTTCTTCCGAATTCTTCATGGGAGCTTTTAAAATGAAGAGTAAATAAGTAACACTATTTATGGGTTTTACATAATTTTTAATTATTATTATTAGGCGCCAATTTCCTAAATATTTTTGAAAACCCATCAATACCTCAATTTAATTGCTGAATAAATTTTTGCCAGGTACATTACAATGCGAAATTTTAATATCTATAGATTTAAAGGTAATTAAATATTACTTTTGTTTCTAACGGAATGAGACAGTCCTTAAACCTTATAATAGTTTGTTTGACACTTTCACATGTACATTTACAGTATGGAAAGGGATAAAAGTAACATGGAGAAGGAAGCGAGATACACTCATAGTTACTTTTGAGGATCTTCATTGAATCTCTTTCTGAGTCGATTTATGCATGTCAATCCAGCTGTCCATGCATTTCTGTAAATAAAATGCAGGTAGCACTTATTATCCGATTGAGATGAACAATATTTGTTCGTCCCAAGGACGAACCCTATTGAGAATGGTGAGAATCGGTTCAAATTAAGATATAGCTCCCATGCATACCTTCAACCGATTTCAGGTTATTTGTGCACCAAATGGCCAATATCAGTCCAAATTACCTGAATTGTGGCACATCCGACCGAATTAAGCCTAGAATAAAGTACATCACATTTGGGGAAAATCGGTTCAGATATAGCTCTCATATATAGGTTTTATCCGATTTGGGGTTTTAAGTCCCTCACATTCGTAATATTTGATACCGGACATAAGATATATCTCCATATACATCTTCATTCAAAATGGGATAGATTTTTTCATATTGAACCAAATTTTTCCCACCTGTTGAAACTAGATCTGGTATATCTATTGCTCCAATAAATATTTTTTTAATATAATTCTTATCGAAGTCAAATCATGCACTATTCAACTATGTTATTTGGTACTAGAGGTGCAAAAGCCTCCATGAAATTATTTGGAAGTCAATTCAGTGTTGGATTTAGTCGCCAAATGGGACTATTCTAAAGCCATGACACGCTATGCAAATAAGGTTCATAGTTGGTATGGTCTATTTCACATAAATTCCCAATATAATTTTTATACCCTACACCACAAGGTGGTCAGGGTATTATGTCTTTGTGCATTTGTTTGTAACAGGCAAAAGGAAACGAGATAGACCCATAGTTCCTTTTGATGATCTGCATAGAATCACTTTCTGAGTTGATTTATGCATGTCAGTCCGTCTGTCTGTCAGTCCGTCTGTCCATGTATTCTTGTGAACAAAATGCAGGTTGCATTTATTATCCGATTGAGATGAAACTTTGCAAACAACATTTATTTGGCCCAAGGACGAACCCTATTGAAATTGGAGATAATCGGTAAAAATTTAGATATAGCTCCCATATATATCTTCGTCCGATTTGCCGTTTATTGTGCACCAAACGTGTAATATCAGCCCGAATAGTATGAAATTTTGCACATACAACCAAGTTAGGCCTGAAAATAAGTATGCCAAATTTGATCGAAATCGGTTCAGATATAGCTATAGGTCCCATATATATTGTTCATCCGATTTGTTATTTTTGTCCTCCGCAGCCGTAATATGCACTCTGTAACAACAATATTTGGGGAAATATATCAAATGCAGCTCAGAAATACCTTTGCTAAATTTTATCGAGATCGGTTCAGATTTGGATATAGCTCCCATATATAACTTCGTCCGATTTATCGTTTATTGTGCACCAAATGTCTAATATTTGTTCAAATGGGATGGAATTTAGCACTTACGACCGAATTGACTCTAGAAGATAGAGTGTCAAATTCGGTGAAGATCGGTTCAGATATAGCTATAGCTCCCATATATATTGTTCATCCGATTTGTTGTATTTGTTACCTACAGCCGTAATATGCACTCCGTAACAACGATATTCAGGGAAATATATCAAATACAGCTCAAAAATATCTTTGCCAAATTTTATCGAGATCGGTTCAGATTTGGATATAGCTCCCATATATATCTTTATCTGATTTCAAATTAATTTTGCACCAAATGGGCAATACAAGTCCGAATTTTAAAGATACAAATGCTTTGGCATATTTAGTCCTTTGAATTTTAAATTATAATTATAATCATAGCGTGTATGATTGAATTCTCCCATAAAAACTTTTAATTATTAAGTGAAGCTCAACTAAATTAGCAAAGTGGTGTAGGGTATCATAAAATCGGCACCGCCGACTTTAGGACTTTCTTTACTGGTTTTTCTTACGGGAGCTCTACTAACCATGCATTGTGGTGTAGGGTATCATATAGCCGGCTCCGCTCGACTTTTGACCTTTCCTTACCGGTGTTTGCTTACATTTATGTAAATATTTTCTTGTATACAATGGAAATATAGATTTTTCTTCTTTAGTGGTCTATGGTGAAATTTGAATTTTTTGCTTTGACGTCATCATTCTAAAATTATTCAGTGCAATATTCGATAAAAGCTAAATAACAAAAAAAAAGAATGGATAAAAGCTGCAACATTTAGTTTTGTTCTTGTACATAAGTTCTTTTTTCTCTGTTAAACTTTGGCATAGAACAAAATCTATTTCCTAAAACGGCAACTGTTGTTGATAAAGTTTCAACATAATTCCAAAGAGGAAATATATCGTCAATTCAGAAGTTATAACAAACTATTCCATTCAGTTGTAAATGACTATCACAGGATGATTTTTGTACAGGAAAATTTATTATGTCCATAGGATGTGAGATCATAGCTAAAAGTTTTATCACAAAAGCCTCCGAGCAAATAACAAATAAATTTTCTGTAAATGTAGCATGAACTCCAATGGTAATTTTCGTGCAGATTTCGAAATTTTTTAAACCGCACAAAAGTCTACAATAATGCTAATAAATAGGCTGAATGGAATATTTAGTTACTAATAGAAATTTAATAACTATATTTCTGAAAAAAGGACTAATCTGAATAATATCTCTCCCATTGTCATATTCGTCCGGATTT